TATATCTTATCTTGCATGTTGATAGTGTATTAACTCCATATAGTCTATAGTCCTGTCTAATACTGTAAGTTGACCGTGTATTAACACTATATAGTTTATAGTTATGTCTCATCCTGAATGTTCACCGTGTATTAATACCATATACTCTTTAATTGTATCTCATCCTGTATGTTCACCGTGTATTAACACCACATACTCTATAGCTATGTCTCATCCTATGTGTTGACAGTGTATTAACTCCTTATACTCTTTAATTATGTCTTAACCTGTATGTTCACCGTGTATTAACACCATATACTCTATAGCTATGTCTCATCCTATGTGTTGACCGCATATAACTCCATATACTCTATAGTTATAATATCATCCTGTATGGTGTCCGTGTATTAACACCATATACTGTATAGTTATGTCTCATCCTGTATGCTTACCGTGTACTAACTCATTATTTTCTATAATTATATCTCATCCTGTATGTTCACCGTATATTAACACCATATACTCTATAGTCGTGTCTAATACTGTATTTTGACCGTACATTAAAGCTATATACTCTATAGTTATATCTCATTCTGTATGTTGACGGTGAATTAACTCCTTATACTTTAGAGTTATATGTCATCCTGTATATTGATAGTGTATTTACTCTCTATTTTCCAGAGTTATATCTCATCCTTTATGTTGACAGTGTATTATTGCCATATACTCTAGAGTTATGTCTCAACCTGTGTGTTAACAGGTTATTAACTCTCGATACTCTATAATTATGTTTCATTTTGTATTTTGAGAGTGTATTAATTTCATATACTCTACAGTCATGTCTAATCCTGTATGTTGACCGTGCATTAACATTATATAATCTATAGTTATATATCATACTGTATGTTGATGTAACTCCATATACGCTATAGTTATACGTTATCCTGTATGTTGACAGTGTATTAACTGTTTATGTTCTTTAGTTATGTCTCATTCTGTATGTATAACGTGTATTAACTCCATACGTTCTATAGTTATATCTCATTCTGTATGTTGACCGTATTTAAACTCTTTATACTCTATAGTTATATGTCATCGTGTATGTTGTCCGTGTATTAGCTCTATATACTCTATAGTTATATCTGATTCTGTATTTTGACAGTATATCAACTCCATATACTCTGTAGTTATATCTCATCCTGTATGTTGGCTGTGTAATAGTTACATATATTCTGTAGTTATATTAACTCCATATGTTCTATAGTTATATCTCACCCTGTATGTTGACGGTGAATTAACTCCTTATACTTTAGAGTTATATGTCATCCTGTATATTGAGTTTTTAACTCTGTATGCTCTACAATTATGTCTCGTTGTGTGTATTGACAGTTTATTAATTCTCTATACTCCATAATTATGTCTTATCTTGTATGTTGTTGTAACTCCATATACTCTATAGTTATATATCATCCTGTATGTTGTTGTAACTCCATATACTCTATAGTTATATATCATCTTGTATGTTAACCGCGTATTAACTCCTTATACTCTAGAGTTATATGTTATCTTGTATAATGAGTTTTTTAACTCCGTATACTCCATAATTATGTCTCATCCTGTATGTTGTTGTAACTCCATATACTTTATAGTTATATATCATCCTGTATGTTGTTGTAACTCCATATACTTTATAGTTATATATCATCCTGTATGCTGACTGTGTATTAACTCCTTATACTCTATAATTATATCTCATTTTGTATGTTGGCCGTGTATTTAGTCCATAGACTCTATAGTTATATGTAACTCATCCTGAATGTTGATCGTGTATTAACTCCATATATTCTAGAGTTATATCTGATTCAATATGTTGACCGTGTATTAACTTTATATTTTCTACAGTTATATCTCATCCTGTATGTACACCGTGTATTAAGTTTTTATACTCTATAGTTACATGTCATCGTATATTAACTCCATATACTCTATAGTTATATCTTATCCTGTATGTTGAATATTATCCGTTGATAACAACAGAGTTTTCGGCACTTTTCATCTCAAGAGTTTTTTGGAGTTTGTTTTTAACATCTGGTTTGGCTCGATTTTATCATTAAAACTACTTAAAGGTGCCTACTGAAGAAGATGGGAGAGCTTGGCTGAAACCTGCATTTCATCAAGTGCATGTGCGTTTCAATATCACACTGTGTCACGTGATCCGAGTCACGTGATGACGTCACCGAATGTTGAAAACGTAAGTGTGGCTTGAAAATGATTTATCAAACTAGTTGTTTAAATAATTGTAACCCCCTGCCCCTGCCCATTGGCACAGCGATAAGTTAGTGGACTTATAATGCTAGAATCCGGGTTTCGATACTTGCGGTAGTCACAGTCCAGATAGACAGTGGTGTACTTTCACTACAAATACACAAACAAAGATAATTTTTAAACGTTTTGCATCCTTATTTTTTGCACTTCCTGTATGTTCTTAGTGATTTCATTAAACACGTATTTAAGTTCTCTGTCGTCGTTGTGCATGTGTTTGGATGGAAGGGAGTAACTTATTATTCATGTCAACCAGTAGTCATTACAAATTAGAGTAAAATTAGCCGAAATAATGGTTATAAATTATCGTCAGAATACTCTACAGTTTTTTATTAATGAATTTGAATCCTAGTGTAGTTCTCTATCACATCTCTGTTATATATTCAGTAGAAGATGGGATTTGGATCAGTTACACTTAGTAAAACAGGAAAAGGAGGAATCTGGATCAGCTTCAGTTACTTACTAAACCAGGATAAGCAGGTAGTTGAATTAGTTTCAGTTACTAAAACAGGAAAAGGAAGAATCTGGATCAGCTTCAGTTACTTACTAAACCAGGATAAGCAGGTAGTTGAATTAGTTTCAGTTACTAAAACAGGAAAAGGAGGAATTTGGATCAACTTCAGTTACTTACTAAACCAGGATAAGCAGGTAGTTGAATTAGTTTCAGTTACTAAAACAGAACAAGCTGGAAGTTGGATCAGTTACAGTTACGAACGCGGCTATATACACGCACGTCACTGGCATTTGTTGCTTGGCAACCCAATTCTGAGTACAATAAAGAGTAAATATTCTTCCAAAAAATCATATTTTTACTCATACTGTCAATCAAGGCTTCTAAAGCTTTTTCCCTAATGTTTGGTCGTGTCTAATTGTTTGACAAAAGTGCCATAGCGGGGGCCACTTGGTTTGGTTCTTTTTAATTTTGCGCAAAGCTAGCCGTCCCTAGTTTAGCAGTGAAAGCCTAGAAGGAAGGCAGCTAGTCATCACCACCCACCGCTAACTCTTGGAATACTCTTTTAACAACGAATTGTGGGATTGACCGTAACATTATACCTCCCCCACGGCTGAAAGGGCGAGCATGTTTCGTGGGATGGGAATTCGAACCTGCGACCTTTAGATTGCGAGCCAAGCGCCCTAACAATCTGGCCATGCCAGGCTAATCTTCGCTTGGAAGTATAATAAAAAATTTTCTTCTCACTTCCCTTCTCAGTTTCTGTCCTTTTCAATTTTTCTTCTCATCATGACTTGAAAATATTTCTACAGAATTTTCAAGATCGTAAAATTTTTCGCATTTTGGACATTTATTCGGAAGTGTTGGATATACAAGACTATTTAGTGTAGGCAATTACATTTAATTTATTTTGTGAGTTAATATTTAATGATTGTTTAGCTTTCATAACAAGAGTGTTAAAGTTAATCATTTCGAAGGCGATAGTTATGATAGTTGTGTATGTGGTTCAATTGTTCTAGTATTGTTGACGCCGAGTTACTCGAATCTTCGGTATTTTTCTCGTTATGTTAAGTGAGTATTGTTACATTATAGCGCCGCTCGCGTAGTTTAGAGAAAGTTTGAGGCCTCAGTGAACAATATATAAATATAGGCGACCAAGCGAGTGCAAGTCAAGTGCAGTTCAGGTAGAAAAATATTTAGCAAAAGAAAGCGTGAAGTTAGCCGGCGTGTGAGTGATTAGCCACGAGGCAGTATTTTAAAGTGAGTTTCACAGTTTAACAGAGATAAGGATAATAATTTGTCTTGTCAAAAGGAGACAATTATTTAAAGTTCGAGATACAACTGTGATAACCCACGGAGTAGCGTAAGTGAATATATTGCTGATTGTACAATAAGAAACAAAGTAGAGAAAAATAATCCGTCTTGTCAATTGGATTTTAATGTAATTGAATCAGGCTGAGTTTACTTTTGACACGAAAAGAGAATTATTTAGAGTTTTAGATGCAACTGTGATATCCCATAGTGTAAAGAATTTTTGTACATACATTTGACTTGTTTTGAATATATTATTTGAAAACAAGTGTATTGCGTGCTGTCTGTTCGTTTATTGTTGACATTTATCGCCAACAAGTCACAGACACCTACTATAGAGGAATCATCAGCCCACTCATATTTAAAACTTTGACAGGAATAATGTATTTACCCCTAATAGAATAATAAGAAATAGTAAAAAATACACTTAATAAGAGTCAGATTGACAGTCATAGTTACGATACGATTTATTATAGGAGCGCTTTTAAAAAGAAGAAAAAAACTTTCTAAATTTACTGTCTAATCCAAGCACAAACATCACCCAACAAGCGAAATCAATAAATATAGGGTTGAGTGTGGCCCATTGTTAGCGTGTCACTCTGTGGATCTGAGGTTCGCCCAGCAGAAAAAGAAATCTCGCTCTGCAATTTGGGGCCGTGGGTGTGTTATAAGAGTAACATTGAAATCCCACTATTCGATTAAGCTAGTCCACGAGTTGGCGGTTGGTGGTGTTGGTTAGCTGCCCTCCTTCTAGTTTTCTACTTCAAAATTAGAGACTGTTAGCGGTTAGCGCGGATAGTTCTCGCAGTAGCTTTTCGGAAAATTCAACAAACACCTCCAACTATTAACAAATTACGTCACAGAAAGCGTCGTGAACGTGACTTCACGACAGAAACTCTCAAGGATTTTTCTAACTGTTAATCTCTTTCGCTATTAGATGAAGAGAAATAAATTACTGAAGGACGTTCACTTGCCATGAGGAACACCCACACACGAGACTTGCACCATTAATCGTCAAAGCACGTGCACGAAAACATCAAAAGGGCACTGAAGGAAGTTCAGGTCGAGACCGTTTCGTCGTCGGGCCAGGCCTTACAAAATGTAATTGCTTATCGTAATAGATCTTGTTCTAAAGGAAGCCCACCAATTGAAAAGAATTAAGTTAAGTCCAGAAAAAATAAAATGTTCTGAATTAGTGGTGTGCAGATAAGTTCTAAAACTTTTAAGAGATAAATTTAGAAGTGACGTCAGAAGATCATCGGGATATGAACAGCAGGGTGTCTGAAAGGGCAGGGATATTCCATCTTTTTTTAATCGATGTATCTCCAGTAAAAAATAATACTTTGACATAGGTGTCTAATCATTAAATGTTGAATATTGATTATAAATATGAGTACTTTAGTAACTTAAAGAGATGTATTTGGGAGAACTTGTTGAAAACTGATGATTAAAACTGTATGTTTAAAACTGGTCTTGATTAATTGAACTGATGGTTGAAACTGTATGTTTAAAACTGGTCTTGATTAATTGAACTGATGGTTGAAACTGTATGTTTAAAACTGGTCTTGATTAATTGAACTGATGGTTGAAACTGTATGTTTAAAACTGGTCTTGACTAATTAAACTGATGGTTGAAACTGTATGTTAAAAACTGGTCTTGATTAATTGAACTGATGGTTGAAACTGTATGTTTAAGACTGGACTTGACTAATTAAACTGATGGTTGAAAC